TCGGCCCAGCCTGCAGTAAACATAACAGTGATGCATGTCCAGTCTAAGAAGTTTCTTAACAATTTTGATACGTTTGGGCCTGGAAGCTCAGATATCAGTGTAAGAAAATAGATATCCAGTTGAAATATGTTGTAAGCAGTTTTCTTCTCAAGATAGGCAAGGCAGGGGCGCAGTTATATTCAGATTTGGAGCTTTGACTTGAAATTGCATCCAAGAATTCTGGAATGCGTAGTGGTACCCTCGTGTCAATGCAACCCTTAACAAAAACTACAGTCATAACATAGCAGACAGCAGTTATTATATAGGTGCCAATCAATGTTATTATCTTGCTTTTTTCCAGAAGGTATCTATGATCGTAACACCGGAAATAATATAGTCAACAATTAATTCTTTAATTAGCTTTTTATCAGTACTTGATGTGTCCGACATATGTTCTGACATGATATGATACAATAAGAAATGCCATCATGAACTTGCGAAGCGAGTAGAAAAAGGAATCAGCAATGTGGAACTTGTCATTCAGCCTGCATGTTGTCGGTGGTGGGAAATGCGTCGTCTTTCAAGCTAATTGAGCTTAACAGCAATAAAGAAATCTAGCAAATTTTTGAATGTGCTGCTTTATGGAAACTACCCCAATATTTCATTTTACTATGCACATCATGCCGAGAGAGCATTGTGCATCAACCTACCCGCTCAAAAAGTTACAATGTTCGATGTTCTTATGAACTTGACAAATTACACACAAATAAAGGCCTTATGGGGTAAAGGCTGTGCAGTACTTCGTCACATCATAAAGTTCCATGAAGTGAAACAGATAAACTTTCTATGGGAACAAATCCTGATATCATAGAAATAAAGCATACAAAGGTGGATGGGCATACCAACACGTTATTGATCGTTCAGTGTACAACCATGATGAACTTCTACTATGATCACATTATCTTATATCAGTGGCGGCTCGGACAAGGTTGTAGGTATTGCTATGGTCTGATATGGTTATGCTGTTTAGGAAACCAGATTGATGAAAGACTTGCTGGGATTATTTAGATGATAAATATTTTTACTTAGACAGTCAGTCAAGATTACTATTTTGAAATGTGGGCATTAATCTGCAATTCAGCCAGTGACAGAGAAAAAGTGAGGTGTTTGGGAGGGACACAGAGCTTGGTGGGTATGAACCAGGTGAATAGGCGGGTTGAAAACCCTCTGCCTAAATTCACTATGTTCAATTACCCACCATAGACTGTAGGCAAAGTCAGACGCCAAAAGGTGGCGGGTTTCCAAGCAAAACAGAAAAATAAGAAAGTACTCAAAATGAAAAGGTAAATTAATTATGACTCGCTATGACCATTGAAAAACGGTGTCTTACCTTACCAGTGTTCTCCCCATAGTAAAAGCATACTGCTGATAGGGTGACAGGGTCGGCATTGCCCCAGGATGCTAGACCCAAACCTAACTAGCATCCCAAAAGAAGAGGCCGAAACAGTTCTGCATGAGGGCACAGGCCATAAGCGAGACCTGGGATGTCCAAGAAGCGCTGACGAGAGAAAGTTCTCAGCACAAATCTGTAGCCCAGACTGCTCTCTGTGCAGGGATCCCTGTGGCCGTTCAGGCTGGATCAACAATCAAAGTTTGACCCGCAACAATGGGACCCACCCTAAAAAGACCTTCCTTGGATTGCGTGTCTCTTAAGTAATAATTGATAAAGATATGTTGTGTTCTCCAGAAGCCTGCCCTAAGTATGTGTTCGAGGGGCACCTGACACACGAGCTTATGAGTTAGTGATTGCATAAACTTCATGCACTCATACTTTGTGTCTCTGTGGAACCATGATGAGGAAGACAAACACTGTCAAAGTGATCCACCTAAAAATGGAAATCTGGTCTGTTCTGCTTACCCTGGCCATAACACATAAACATGTGCTTTCCCTGCCTCGACTCGACTAGTATGTCTCTCATAGCAACTCAAAGCTCAAACTGGGCATAGAAGTACCTCCTCCTGATCCACCGGGCTGACAATATTGGCAGTGGATCGTGTCCTGGGATTTGGTTCTTGGCAAGAAACCCAATTTGTGTCTTTAGTAGAGCTTGATTGTCCAGGCGAGAGCTAGTAGGAAGACTGTTTTTCATGTCAAGTATTTCAATGGTGCTAATTCCAGTGGTTCAAAGGGTGGTTCCCTGGATTGAGTTCTAGGCCTCTGATAATGAAAAGCGATAAACAGTCTTCTAATAATAGGACAATCGGCTAGTTTTGTCCCAAAGTTTTCTCAATGGCAAGGCTGACCTATAGCCAATGATTGCTGCATGGGATAAACCTAACAGTGTCAAACAGATGTACGAAAAAATCACCTGCCTGGCCAACAGTGGGTTGGCATGGATCAACCTCCTTTCCACTACACCAATCAAAGTATGCCCGCCACTTGGAGGCATAGACCATGATGGTAGGACCCCTATTCACCCTGGACAGGACATTGGCAGCCCGCGCAGATAAATCTTTCGTCTGTGCGAGTCTACTGAGAGCCTCCATGCGTGTGAGTGGTACACTGCTGGGCTCATTGGTAGTGTGCCATCCAGTTGGGATGCCTGGAAGCACTACTGGTGTCTCGACTAAAATTTCCAACTGTAGTGAAAACCACCCCTTAGTTGGCCAGTTGGGCGCATGTCATAGTTTCTCATAGGCCCACAGAATCAATAATGCATACATGGCACATGCTCCTGGAGTTGATAGAAGTGTCACGTATGTTGGGAGCTTGGCATTCTGGGGTGTGGTGAATAGGTCTATCTTGGGACTGTTCCACAGCTGAAACTGTCTAGAGGCTACTCATTGGGGTACCTGTGACTCCATGTTCTGAAAACTGAGTTGCCGCAAGAGGGCATCCGCTTTACTGTCTACATCCGCTCTACACCTCTTGAAGGTGGTGTGCAGTTAGCTCCACATTGCATTCCAGGCACCAATGGAGAATTTGCTCCACCAGAGCCGACAGCGATGTGGATTTTCCCCCACTCCGCTTTGTTGATGTAAGAGACGACCACTGTTGTGTCCATGCAGAGCAAGACTTTGTGGTCCTGAACTATGAGTCAAAAGTGTATCAATGCTAAGTGTACTGCTTCCAGATATGACGACCCTGAATCCAATGCAGGGGCCATGTTCCTTGGACTAGTTCGTCCATTAGGTGCACTTCCCAACCTGTGCAGGAAGCATCCGCAAGCAGAGTCATAGCCATGGTGAGTGGGTCCAAGGGGACCCCTGCCTGAAGCTGGCAATTGCCATCCACCAGGGCAAGGCATCACACGTTTGGCCTGAGAGAGTTACTCGCCTCTCCAGTTCCCGTAGGTGAGACCAGTGTTGCATCAGAAGCCTGTGCAGTGAGGTTTGGGGAACTATTCTGCGAACTGACTTCATCCCAATGATGCACGTCAGCTCTCGAAGAGACACTAAATGTTCGGCTAGACTGCTTATTCCTAGTCAACAAGCCTGGGATGGATGCACAAAGCCTGCTTCTGTGTCCAACTCCATGTCCGGAAACACCAACTGACATGTTGGGAGTTTTAGATTTACCAGAAGGCCTAATTGGTGTAGTAAATCCTGTGTTAGCCTTACCTGTTCGGCCAACAACCCCTTGTTTTGGTTGTGTAACAACACCAGTCGTCTAGGTACGGGTTGATGTGTACTGACGACCAATGTGCCAGTAAGCATCAGTTAAGTCTAGCAAGGCTAACCAATCAAAACAGTGCCTGGAGAGTCTCTATGCGGAACCGATCGAGGAGCACATACTAATTTAGTTTGCTTAGATCCAGAACTGGACGCCAGCCACCTGAAGCTTTGGGACTACAAACATGTGGGAGTAGAAGCTCTGACGGGATTTTTACCAGGTGTATGTCGCCCTTTGTAAGCAAAGTGTCTACCAACTGTCGGATTGCCTCCACATGAGGGCGGAGATAGCAGCAGAATTCTATAACCGTGTATCACCACCTAGAGTGTTCAGGAGTCAGTTACCTGCTGCTTCCAAGTGGAATACACCGGCGCAATTAGTGTGCGACAGGGTTATGTGGCCATGGGCTTGGTGGTTCTACATTGGGGGCAAACTCACCACCGCTGATTCTTGGTACCTGGGTTGGGAAAAGAACCGAGGGCATGAGGTTTGGCTCCAGACTCTGCTGGCTTCGGTACCGCACCGATTGAATAGTCATAAGGTCACCCAATCCTGGGGTCTTAGGACTATATATTCTTCCGCAGAAGACCAATGCATCACCCCTATGGCGCAGTTCTAGTCGTCGTTTAAGAGGACAGACTCCAAGGGGATGCCCAAGACCTCTGCCTGCAATAACAGGCAGTGTGGATGCCCTTCAGTCAGGGTGGCTTCCCACCCATACTAAGACTCCTCTCACTCATGCCTCGGGCCATCCGAACCGACCACACAACTAGCCCGAGGTCAGGCAACATGGTCAGATTAGAAGCTCTTCTCTGCTTTCCTTGCTACTTGACGGCCATTTTAGCTATGCTAAGAAATGAACAGACATGTATGAGTGGAACGCAATTATAGTTGACACAATGAAGCCCTACAAAATGGGTCATATGCGCCTAGTTTTTCGTGTTTGGTACAAAAAACACATGGCCTCTGATGTTATCAAACCAGACACCATGTCTTACTGTTACCAACAGTCACAGAAGGAATACCTCAGAAAACTGCTGACTGAACCGCACTGTTTTGCTGTGTTGCACACTCAGTGTGGAGAAAACAAAGTGAACATAAGACAAGATGGCGCAGACCTCTTGACCTTGGTCATGTGTTATGTTACAATGGAAATCTATGAGGTCGTGAGGCTTCCCATGACCTAGATTTTTCTCTCCGTCATTAGTTGAATCACAGATTAATGCCTACAGTTCAAATTAGTCATTTTGACTGACCGCGCCTGAAACGGGGATTAAAAAGAACTCATTATTTCTCTGCCAAATTCGTGAACTTAAAACCCAGTGAAACATCACAATAGTGAAATTAATAGAGTTATTGTAAACAACTTTATTTCATCAGACAAATTTACATGAGTCAGTAGAATTTTGTCACAGTGAGCATTTCTCTGGAGTCCTACAACATGAAGTGTCCACGATTGTGCCTTGTGACACTGACAAAACACTGACCATAAGTGTTGCTGTTAAACTTGAAAACAGCATGGCTACTTGTGTGATTAACTATCATAATATAGGGCATGGAAAACTTCATGATGTCCTCTTTGATGGTCATGTTTTGATATGTTCAAATAATTGTAGCTATTTTATTTTACAATTTTATCAAAGTTATAGTCATTCATGACAAGTGTGAATACCAGTAAACAAAAGTTTTATAGCTAAAAAAATTGCTTTCTTAATTAGTTTTATATTACTTTTAAATTAAACACAACAGTGGAGGTCACAAAACTGGGATTGTGCTTGTAAAAGCTTTCATCCAAATAGTGATTGATTCGAGAGCTGTCTATACCCATAATGCATGTGCAAGCCTTTACTTGACATAGCAACTGTGACCACCTGCTTAATAATGTTGAACTATTTCATTAATATTAAATAGAACTAAAAATGATGTCACCATACTATTCCTGGATTGGTTCATTTCATTTGTAAACGTCATTCGCAATAGACAAAGATAAATGAGTTTGTATTAGTTATAAATTTAAATTTTTTTTAGACTTTTCTTTCATTTCATAAAACATACAACAAATAATATTTACATTTGTTAGGTACAATAATACATTATGTTCATTCTATGATATACCCAATCATGTAATTGAACCCATGATGTTGTTACTAATTTAAATATGGCAAAATATTAGTTTTGAAAAAAACATCTGTGAAGCGCAAATGATCTGTATCTGACACCAGAAATACCAGTTTCTTTTTCAAGTCCATTTGTTTGAGTCCAAGCTTATCCTAGGAAGAAAGAAGACAATTCTGCAGAAAATAGTATAATTATTGAGGCCTTAGTCATTGACCTATTGAGACCTTGGTCATTGACACATATAAGACAGCGGCAGACCAATTTGGAAATACATATAGGCTGCTACACTATGATGTGATTTGTTTACATTTTAAAGGGCAGTGGTTGTCCTGTTTGATACGAGACTCATTATGACACACATAATGCCTGTAAAACGTATTGTTTCAATGAAATTCAAATACATGCTGTGTGATGACCATCACCCTTTAATCAACCAGCTTAGACATGTACGATAAAAAACATGGATGGATCATCACTCAGAATCTACTGTCAAAATGTTGCACGTTGAAGTTGAGTCTTTTGTTTTGTAAATTTCCCTATATGACTTTTATATAAAGATCTACAGTTGGGTATGTTATTTCTAATTTCCAACTAGACACTAAAACTAAAACCAGCACAAATCCCAAAATTGAATAACATACAACACAGTTTGTTGCAGCCTTCCTCAAAAGTGAAAAAAATTCTTTTACGTTGATTTTGAATTATTCATTTTTTGCAAAAATATGCTGTTATATACATAATATACATTTACAACAATATACGGGGGTATGTAAATATATGCTAAGTGGACAAGGGTGTAGTTCTATAAGCTTAAAAAGTCCCTCAGATTGACATATACTTACCTCTTTATAAAGTGGACTATCCTGAAGTCTGAATGTTTCTTTAGCTTGCCCAGGAGTGTAGAATCCAAACCACTAAATAAAGAGAGATGTTATTATTTTCTTGTTAACACAACCGAAACACAATTGAAATCTGTATATTAACCCTTTCACCACCAGACTATCTCACCCTCTTTTTTCTGCACTTTTTATTTATATTCTTCAATATTTTTTGGAAAAGAACCCTAATTTTGGAGCCAACAGACAAAATTAGAGTAAATTTTTAGTTTTTACACAAAAAATTTGGCTCTTTTTGTCCCAGACTATAAATGGGAAAATTTTCTGAATTAACTGTATGTCAAATTGTTCATACTTTCATGAAAGAAAGTCGATGTTACTAAAGTACTGCAAATATGGGGGTCACTAGACAAGGTAAGGAACTGTGAATATCCCAAAAATATGTTTTTTTATTATATTAACAAATTTGGCTGAAAACATGATATATTGTCATAAGACATGGTGCATTTTGTTGTTGCAATTCTTTAATAAACTGACTTATAATTTACTATGTTTTAAATGAGATGGTATATTTTTCATTTCATGCAATGAGAATTCTTCCTCATCAGCCATGTTCTGTATGCATATAGTAGATGCCAAAATTTAAATTTGACACAAACTTCTTTAGGAATACACTAAAGAGACTGATGGGTTTAGTCAAGGGCGAAAACAATAACTGTGTTACAATTTATGTAACTATTGTTTTGTTTAACATTATATGTTGCCCGTTCTGTTAACTGTTAATTGAACATCGAGTTACAATTTGGATGTGGTCATTTTAGTAACTCAATATTCATAACTCATATTCATAACTCATATTCATAACTCATATTCATAACTCATATTCATAACTCAACATCTGTAACACAAATAATTCAGCTTCTCAAACCAAATACTGATGGTTGAATGCTGTGTTAGAGCCACCCTCACCAAATTACTTTTACCAAACAAGCAACTCCCTTGCACATTAATGCTGCATCAACCCATATATTATACTGTAAAGGGGTTGATTATTCACTGGGTTTTAATTTTGCTTATTTTGCTGGCTGAAAAATGTGCTAAATTAAAACCCAGTGAATATGTGAAATTTACCATAGAACACATTATCTAAATGATAAAACTGTGAATTTAATACCCACTGAGTATGCCTGAAATGGTAAATCAGCGTAATTTAAACCCAGTGAAAATTAGTAATTTTACAGTACCCTCGGTATATTCTAGACTGATGTCATACATACCTCGCTGTCTTTTGGATCTACCATTGTGTCTTTACCAAACTTCACCATTACAAATTTGTTGAGTTTCTGTAAATTTGTCTTGTATGACTTGTTTATGCCCTGGACACATAAGATAAAAATATATCAAATTACATTTATTTAAGATAGCATCTTTAAAATGTGCACAATTCCCACTGAATACAGACTCGTACAAGTGCATGCATGTAATGTCAATTTGGAGAAACAGCAATAAATATGTCTGCAATGTTCATTGAGATTTATTTTCTCTTTGTATGTATCTAGCATAACCTCATCACTTGTATCTCTGTTTAAAAAATGACAGAAAATCTGTATGAGTTCAGAAAACTGCAAACCCCAAACTTCAAACTATACTTTGAGGTGTTACAGTTTCTACGCCATGAACTCTTCAAAGCAGATGCTAAAGTGTTTCTGGTGAGAACAAATTCTATTTATGTATTAGCATAGCACAAGCTATTAAAAATGTGAATACCATTTCCAAAATTTTAACGACCCATATTTCATTTAGAAAACGTTACATACAAACCCCTCACATTTTTGGAAAATATTTCAATTTTTTGTTAAAATATTAGAAAGAGATATATTTTGCCTTTTCCTCATAGAACCCATGTATTAATTAACCTTTTGAGCACCAGGTTCAACTTCAGTCCCCATCCATGAAATAGTTCTATATACCGTCCCCGCATATTAATTAGGTAATTTGCATATCATTAACTCTCTGAGCACCAAAGTAAACTTTTGTCACCATTCACAAAATAGTTCTATATACCATATGTGCATATTAATTAGGTAATTTGCATATCATTAACCCTTTGAGCACCAAGGTCAACTTCATTCACCATTCACAAAATAGTTCTATATACCATGTGTGCATATTAATTAGGTAATTTGCATACCATTAACCCAATCACCATCCATGAAATACCTTAATTTATAGTCTGCTCTTTTCACACATAACATGTTGACAACAAATTTTCAAACTTTATAAATAGTGGGACTTCTTTGTTTGTTTCAAAATTTATACTGAATTTAGTGAAAATTAAAGAAAATGTGAACAAATTCATATCATTTTTTAGAAGGGAGAAATAATTTTGTACTCAAAGGGATAACTACATAATATAAACAAATGAATTTCTTAAAAACGAGGTCAGTTAGTAATCCCTATTTTATTATTGCTAAGAGCTATACTTCTAGAAATTTCTTTTCATTGTGCCATTCAACTTACATTTTCTTGGTTGATATCTGCTAGGAAGATACTCTTCTGTTTGTACAGTTCTTCATTGAGTGGATCATGCCAGTATTCAGCCTGACAGAGAAAGCTTTGTACAAAGTCATTGTAGGCTCCAAGGTTTAATAACTCCCTTACATAGTCACAAATAGTTGAGTTGTCACCGGGACATCTTGGAAAACCATATACTCCTGGAAGAACAGAAGTAATTGTTTATATTCAAGCACGATTGGATTGGCTAGCTCAGAACCACTAAATAATCCCTGAAAGGCTCACATGTTTAAGTACCTATGATGTCTTAATTACCACTGTTTTAAATTTGAAAGACAATTTGAAGTTATAAATAATTAAAATTTATAATTTGCATTTATAAATAATTTTCAATTTCCAATAATCTGAATTTGCAAATAATATGAATTTGTAAATAATATGAATTTGTAAATAATATGAATTTGTAAATAATATGAATTTGGAAATAAATATGAATTTGGAAATAATAAGGATTTGTAAATAATATGAATTTGTAAATACACATGTATATGAATTTGTAAATAATATGAATTTGTAAATAATAAGAATTTGTAAATAATATGAATTTGTAAAATGAATTTGCAAATAATATGAGTTTGCAAATAATATGAATTTGTAAATAATATGAATTTGCAAATAATATGAATTTGTAAATAATATGAATTTGTAAATAATATGACTTTGGAAATAAAATGAATTTGTAAATAATAAGAATTTGGAAATAATATGAATTTGGAAATAGATATGAATTTGGAAATAATAAAAATTTGTAAATAATAAGGATTTGGAAATAATATGAATTTGTAAATAATATGAATTTGGAAATAATATGAATTTGTAAATAATAAGAATTTGTAAATAATATGAATTTGTAAATAATATGAATTTGTAAATAATAAAAAATTTTAAATAATATGAATTTGTAAATAATACAAATTTATAAACAATTAAAAATGTAGATGCATTATTATCTTTCATTGTAGTACATAGGAAAAACACACAGAGCAAATATCAAACTACCATAAGTGAAAAACAAACTGCAAATTAAGAGGAGATATTCAAGCTTGTCTGACAGTATCCATAAAAACAATGAGTGATTTCTCTAAAACAACAAGCCCTATTTTGCTCACATAAGTTTTATGGCGCAGGGGGGGGGGGGGGGGGTCAACTGCCAGTGAAATGGTGAAATGATTAAGATTAGCCAAAATTTCTAGTAGTGAAATTAAACATTTTACAACATACTGTGACCCCGTAACCATTGAAACAGATATTATAGTATTTAAAAAAATGAAAGTAAGCCTCAAAGACCTGTTGGATTCGTTTTATGGATTTCTTTACTGCACATCTAATGCTTCATTACTGAAGTCTGCACCAAGTTTGTAAAATAGCGCCCTCTAGAGACTGCATGCAAAATAAAACCTTTATTGTTTTTCCTTAGCAATGTTGCATCTAACAAAATTGGTACTTCACATTTATTAGCCAACATTTTCATGACAGGCATTCCAAATCTGAAAAGAAAGGTAGGGATAGAAACAGACTGAAAGCTACAGTCACACCAATACAATCCATTTTTGGTGATAGAGGGCTGTTACTAGAATCAGTAGTTTAGACCAACCTATTTAAAATCTGAAGACTCCAACTTTTTTTTCAATATTTATTTTTTTTTATTTTTTATTTATGACTATTTTTTGGGTTTACTTTCCATTATTACATTGTTTAAGTTGTCTGAGATATGATATAAAAAAAACTAAATAACATCAAGTAAAAACAAGCAGCCTCTTGGCTGAGATAGCTCCGCTGTTAGCAATGCACATTTCAATTAAAGAACAGAAGATATCATTAGAAAATGAACAATATGCATAGTATCAATGCAATGGGACTTGCTGTTTTCAACAAGAATTCAAAAATATCATTTTTCACCATAAATGATTGTTGTTTTTAACAAGAAGAAAATATCACTTTTTACCAAAAATGACAAAAATATTCACCAAAATTAGAGAATGGCG